ATTGTCCCCATTCCTGCTTTCTGCCGAAAAAGTGCTTTCGTGAGAACCCTCGTCCCCATCCTGGGGGAAGATGTAATATTTTAAGGGCTTTTTTTTTTTTATTTTCATAGACATGAAATAGTTTCCCATACAACTTCTGCCCTCAGTTGCCTGCCTCCCAAAGGAAATGACCCCCAAGAATGCCTTCTTTTCCCAAAGGACCACTTCCCATGGAGAGGGAAAGAAAAAGAAAGGTAGTAAAGAAGAGGAAAATAAGAGGAGGTAAAGAAAAGAAAAAGAGGAGAGAAGAAAAGAGAAAAAAAAAGAAAAGAGAAAAAAAGAAAAGAAGAAAAGAGAAGAAAAGAAAAGAAAAGAGAAAAGAAAAAAAAGAAAAGAAAAAGAAAAGAAAAGAAAAGAAAAGAAAAGAAAAGAAAAGAAAAGAAAAGAAAAGAAAAGAAAAGAAAAGAAAAGAAAAGAAAAGAAAAGAAAAGAAAAGAAAAGAAAAGAAAAGAAGAAAAGAAAAGGAAAAGAAAAGGAAAAAGAAAGGAGAGAGGAGAGGAGAGGAGAGGAGAGGAGAGGAGAGGAGAGGAGAGGAGAGGAGAGGAGAGGAGAGGAGAGGAGAGGAGACAGAAAAGAAGGGAAGGGAAGGGAAGGGAAGGGAAGGGAAGGGAAGGGAAGGGAAAAGATTTTAATTTGTTGGAATTTTCGGTGAAAAGCCTCATGGAAACCAGGGATTTTAAGCAGAACGAAGATGTTATGTTAACACACCTCAGTTTAAACGATTTGGTGCTGTGTGTGATTTACCTGCAAGTAAAGCCAGCAGCCAAATAAATCCCGATGGATCGGAGACTTTAAAATCAGGCCTATAGCTCCACCCTAAAGAAAATTAAAGGTAAAGCTTGGGCGGTAGAGCCTGGCTACCCACAGCCCTGGCCTTGACCAGGGCGATGTACAATGAAGGTCTTTCCTTACCAGTCTGAAAGTAATTAATTTTTTATGAGTTTTCATAAACTTCGTTATTCTGTCATCAAATATGCCAGCCATGGCACGTCGTCTCATCGGTAGTCTAAATAATACACAGAAGGACAAATATTTAATGAATATCTGGTCTGATAGTGGACATTTGGTGAACATCTCTGTTGGTCCAGCAGCGTTCTAAGGACTCTTCAATGCTTTCGACGGTTACCAGTAATTCAAGTGAGGATCCAACTTGCACCCTTTCCCTAAATTAAGAAGATTACAGCTTTAAACATAAGTCTTTCTAGGAAGAAATGGAGTGATTGATAGCTGCTATTTCAATAATTATGGCACTCTTAAAAATAAAAGAGCAAGGACGTGAAGCACATCGCAACATGCTACTAAGCATCACCCGGAGCTCGAGGTACCTCCCGCCGCCAAAGCTCCCGGGTGGCTGGGTGGAGAACGCTCCCCAAAAGCCCGGACCGAAATATAACGGGTGATTCCCCAGGTACCTACTCGAGGAGCTACCTGCACCCCGGCCTTGCCAGCAGCGCTGCCGGCTCGGCTAGCAACACTCCATGAACTCTCACCTCTCTGGCAATCTTGCCCAGACCTCTAATGTGGGGCTTCTTCCCAGAGGTATTTTTTTTAATGCAATACTTAACCACATCAAAGGTTTAAAAAATGTATTCTTACCTCTGCTGCGTTTGGAAACTCCAGCTGGATGAATAATCCCCAGGGACTGAGATTCTCGGTCCCAGGACAGCTGCTAACTGCTGGTATAAAGATGTATAGATCAGCATATTTTTGCTTTAAGGCTCTGTCCGTAGGCCAGAGCGCACACTGTTACACTATTTCGATGCAAGCCGTCGGGACAGTGTGGGTCGCTGGCAGTATTTTTGATCTTTTTTTTTTTTTTAATGTACAGTTTTATTCCTTGCTCTCCTGTGGGTTCACCTCTGCAGGGTTCTGCATCTCTGCTCCTCACGCTACGTGTAGCAAGAGTCAGAGTCGTGACCTGAATTAAGGTAGTTACCACTGCCGGACGTTAATGTCACGAGTAGTGTCGCTATTATATGGGGCGTGGGGGAGAAGAAAAAGGTGGGAAAAGACAGAGGCGAAGCGGACACGACCGATGGCGCTCAGGCTCGCAGTCAGCTCTAATGGGACACAGGGCTGAGCCGGGACGTCTCAGGACCCCGGCCTTCCCCGGGAGCCCTCCCGGCCGCGGTACCGAGTCCTGCGGGGATGAGGGTTTCGCTCCGATCGCAGCTGGGGGCAAAGCCCGGCCCTACGGTAAAGCGGAGGAAAACCTGTCGGGGACCCCGTCACTGATGAAACCCCCGAAGAGGTGGAAAAGGGATGGAGCGGGGGGGGGGCTTGGAGCTGATGTCTCTCGGCATTGCTAGCATAGAACCTCCAGGTCCTTCCCCACCGAGGGAAAAGCACGTCCCCGCTGGGCTGTGCCACTTCCCAGACACAGAGCCCGGCGTTCACAGCTGGAGAGGGCGCAGAGCTGCTGGGGCTGGGCTGATATTCCCTCACGGGTCACCCTTTAAGTGCTTAACACAGGGTTCCAGGGTCCATTGTGGTGTTGCCTTTTCTTTTTGTCCCTCTCCCCTCCCAGCAGAGATTCCAGCATCTCCCCATCCAGGCCGGTTTCTGGGGAACAAAGCCTGGGGACCTGGGGAAAGCCAGCCCCTCGCCCCTTGCTGCTCCTAATGAGGATCATTTCTTTAGCCTACAGTCCCGGCTTTCATTATGGAGCCTGTCTCGGTCCGTTAATGGTCATTAGGCTGCAGCCCAGTAACTCCCCCGCCAGATCATGTGCATGCTAAAAAAAAAAAAAAATAATTCAAATAAGAATAATAAAAAATGTCTTTAGTGATATTAGTCATAATCTCCATCGTCATCATCTGGCCTAAATTAGCTACCCATTAACACAAACATTCCACCCTTCCACCTCTCTAGAAGCAGAGGTTTTTCTCCACCAGTCCCAGTTCTGAATGCTTTGCGAGTTTCGGGGGGCTAGCACCTTGCCTGCCCGGGGATCTCCGTCTTTGTTCCCACTGGCTCAGACCGAGGAGGTTTGGGGAGGTTATTTCTTTTCGAAAATGCTATTTGGGATATTTCGTTGAGCTTTGCTCTGGCAGAGAGGACAGGGATGCGGAGGAAGCTGACCGCAATATTTGTACTTGCTATTTTCCTTTGATATTTTTTCCTCCCCTCTTTTTTCCCTAAGCAGATCGGCAAATCAAACCTGGGTCTGCAAAGTGAAGCCGAAGAGTCTCCCCTTCTATATTTTAACTTTTTTGGAGTGTCTCTGAGCTCGTGAGTTTTGTGTGTGCTTTTATGTCTCCTCAGCTCTGTCGGATTTTATGAAAATGAGCAGTATTGAAAGCTTTTCCATCCCGCTAGCTGTGAGCCTCACATAAATGATGTAAATGGCTCGAAGGGTTTTTTTCAAGTGAACTGTGTAGATCTGTGAAAATAATATCAGGGTTTTCCGTCAGAATGAGCTTAGCACTGTACTGAGGCATACCATAATCTGACCCGACACCTCCGACCATCTGCGCTATCTATCTGCCTTCTGATTTACCAAATCTTCACAAGCAAAAGACAAATTGTACTTGATACTAAAGAAAAGACGCCGAGCCCCAGTCCAGCTCCATTTCTGCGGAGAAATGATTGGAGAAAATGTAAATCTGTTTAATTTCGGTCTGTGGGCAACTAGCAAAGGAGCTTTCTTGAAGAAGGGAAAAAAAGAAAACAAAAATAAAATTAGAAAAAAGAAGGAAAAGAAAAAAAAGGGAAGAAAGACAATAACAAGATATCAAATTAAGAAGGGATTTCTTTGACAAGCGTTCTAGAAAAAAATGTATTGCAAAGAGCAGAAGGGAGAACGTATTGAGCTTAATTCAAAATATATGCTGCCATATATGCTGCCTTTCGGAGTACGGTCCCTAATGTTGCCGGGAATAAACTGCCACCGAGCAGCTAGATTTAGAATAAAAAGTGATTGCCTTCTTGATTTCCCCCCTTCTCGCCAGAAAACAGCTCATACCCTCACCGCTCAGAAAGCGATTTCATCCCCGCCGCGACGGCCGCGGCTTGCCCCTCTCCTCCGAAGGGGCGGATCGGAAAAAATCCGCTGGGAATGATTACTACAAGATGATCAATATTTCAAAAGATTCATGAAATCTGCTTTACGTTGCTGTCCTGACCTACAAATGACTTCTCACTCCCCGCGACTATTCTCGACGTCTATTCAGGACCATTCAGCCGAAAACAATAAGGTTTTAAATGTTAAGATATATGTATAGTTATATAAAGCTTTAGTTGAACGGAGAAGGGCACTGGGCTCTTTGCAGATAATTTCTCGTTTTAACAGAGGCGGACAGTCACCAACAAGGGGAAGGGGGAGAGTTTTTCCTAAATCTTGGCTCTTGCTGCTGTCCTACCGCTGCACTGATTGTAACCGACAGCCTCAGCACCGACACTGTCACTGTTGTGCAGGCGGGTTTTTATCTGGTTTCTCATCTCTGCCTTATGCCCCTCTCCAACCCGCGGTGCTCAGAGCTGTGTGCGTACAGCCCCGGGCCAAAGCCCACAGCTTTTTTATGGAGGATGCAGGGGGTACCGGCCACTCCATCGCGGGGACCGCTCCCTCCAACTTCCTGGCAGCAAACCGCAGCCGGTATCCCCCTTTCCCTGCTCTGCCCCTGCTCTGGCGGTGGCCCCGGGGGAGCGGAAAGGGACAGGACGGGCACTCCGGGAAGCGGGCGGGGAGCGGGCGGGGAGGTGCCGGTGACGGCGGCGCGGGGACTTCCGCCGTGATTGGCAGCGGCTGACAGTGAGTGGCAGCCCCGCCATGGAAACCCGGGAGCCAATCTGCCGAGCCCGGCAGCAAATCAGGCGCTCCCGCAGCAGCGCGGCGGCGGCGCGGAGCCGGCTTGTGCCTTTTCTGGTTTCCTTTTTTTATTATTATTCTTTCCTTTTTTTTTTTTTCTCTTCCTTTTTCTCCCTTCCCTCCCTCCCCGCCCGCCCGCCCTCCCCCCACTCCATCCTCCTCCGCCTCGCCCCTGCCCACCTCCCCCAGTCGCCGGAGCCGCCGAGCGCTCCCCATCGTCTCTCCGTCCTCTTCCGTCCTTCCCGCCGCAACTCCGCCGGCGCCGGAGGAGGCAGAAGCGGAGCGAGGGGCGGGCGCCGGGGCCGCTGCCCTCTTCCCGGTGCGGGCATCGCCGGGGGAGCGCGGAGCGCGGAGCGGAGCCCGGCGCCGCCTCCATGTTCCAGCTGCCCATCCTCAATTTCAGCCCGCAGCAGGTGGCTGGGGTCTGCGAGACCCTGGAGGAGAGCGGGGACATCGAGCGCCTGGGGCGCTTCCTCTGGTCCCTGCCCGTGGCCCCTGCGGCCTGCGAGGCCCTCAACAAGAACGAGTCGGTGCTGAGAGCCCGGGCCATAGTGGCCTTCCACACGGGGAACTACCGGGAGCTCTACCACATCCTGGAGAACCACAAGTTCACCAAGGAGTCTCACTCCAAACTGCAAGCGCTCTGGCTGGAAGCGCATTACCAGGAGGCGGAGAAGCTGCGGGGCCGACCCCTGGGGCCGGTGGACAAGTACCGGGTGAGAAAGAAGTTCCCTCTGCCCCGCACCATCTGGGACGGCGAGCAGAAGACACATTGCTTCAAGGAGCGGACGAGGCATTTGCTGCGGGAGTGGTACCTGCAGGACCCTTATCCCAACCCCAGCAAAAAGCGGGAACTGGCTCAGGCTACGGGACTTACCCCCACGCAAGTGGGCAACTGGTTCAAAAACCGCAGGCAAAGGGACAGGGCGGCAGCCGCTAAGAACAGGTAAGGTGCTGCCAGTCCCGCGGAGGCACAGGCCACCCTCCACCCAGGGAGACTTCTTTCCCCGGGGCCGGGGGTCCGGTGCGATGCGGCCCGGCCCCGGACAGCCCCTCTGTGGGGACGTGAAAACGACCCCGGGAAGTTTCTCCCAGGGAAATGCAGCGAGATAACGTAGGAGCAACGGGAAAACCCGATGGCTTTTTATCTATTTATTTATTTCTAATAGGGGGCTCCCCTTGGCCGCTCGCGGGGAGCGGGACAAGGGCCCTCCCGGCTGGAGGAGCTGCAATGAGCCCGCAGGACCCGCCGGCAGAAGGGCCGCGTTTAGCTGCCGAGCGGGGAGAAGCCCCCCTTCTGAGTTTTGCTTGGACATACAGGAACCTGTTTCATATATGTCCAGCCGGAGCAGGGCCGGCAATGCTCCTTTCAGGCCCTGCTCGTTTGCAGAGAGCCGCCTTGACCTAAATCCCTCTGGAGCCAGCCGGGATCTACTTCTTGGAGGATTTTTCTTCTTTCTCTTCCTTCCTTCCTTCCTTCCTTCCTTCCTTCCTTCCTTCCTTCCTTCCTTCCTTCCTTCCTTCCTTCCTTCCTTCCTTCCTTCCTTCCTTCCTTCCTTCCTTCCTTCCTTCCTTCCTTCCTTCCTCCCTTCCTTCCTTCCTCCCTTCCTTCCTTCCCTTCCTTTTTTCTTTCTTTCTTTCTCTTTCTTTCTTTCTTTCTTTCTTTCTTTCTTTCTTTCTTTCTTTCTTTCTTTCTTTCTTTCTTTCTTTCTTTCTTTCTTTCTTTCTTTCTTTCTTTCTTTCTTTCTTTCTTTCTTTCTTTCTTTCTTTTTCTTTCTTTCTTTCTTTCTTTCTTTCTTTCTTTCTTTCTTTCTTTCTTTCTTTCTTTCTCTTTCTTTCTTTCTTTCTTTCTTTCTTTCTTTCTTTCTTTCTTTCTTTCTTTCTTTCTTTCTTTCTGTCTTTCTTTCTGTCTTTCTTTCCTTCTTTATTTATTTCTCCCTTTCTTTCTCTCTCTCA